GGGGGGGGGGGGGGGGGGGGGGGGAAAGGAAGTGAAAATCGTGCGTCTCCATAGCGGGGTCACGTGTGGATCCTGCGCAATATTCCACGTTGCTGCTATCGCCTCTTCCATGCTGTAAGCCATAAGTTCGAGTACTCCGAATCTCAAGTACTCCAAGTACTCGAACGTTCGAGTGTGGTAAACGCCACTTGCGATAACCGGTCATTGTCAGGCGGAAAACGTGATCAAATCTCGAAAACAAAGAAAAACTTGAATATTTCTCGTCATCACCGTCGCCAGACATCGCGATGGAGCCAAGTCCGATCGATAATTCTCGAGTCCCACATCGCATGGAGCGGAGAGAAAGGGGGTGAGGAGGGTGAGGGGGGTGAGGGGGGGTGAGGGGGGGGGGGGAAGTCTCTCCCTCGGGGTTCGAGGGTGACGACGATGAGAGAGCTGTTAATGTCCAAGGATTATAATCTTTACTGCAGCCTGATGATCGAAATCGAGAGCCTCGCGACCGTTACTCGCAGACGACTTTCGACTTTCGACAAGGGACTGCTTTCTCCAATAAAGACGATTTGGAATTCATGTACTGAATTTTCATCGATTGCTGCCTATTTTTTTTTTTACTTGCCGCATAATGTTACCAGATGCCCATTGCTTAGGTGATTAGGGTTAGGTAATTAAGTCCAAATCGCTTTTCTAATTACTATTCTGCTCACTTGGTCTGTTTTAAAAATAGGGTTAGCTATTGGCTACGTGCCAGATGGATCGTGGACAGTTTTCCACTCCCAGGACATGACCTCACCAAAATCTTTATATTTGGCATCGTTGACGGTAATGACGAAACGAGTTGGCACTAAAGAGCAAGAGAGTTCTTGTCGTGGCTCTGGTATTTCCTGGTCTTCCATGAAATGCAAGGCGATAAAAAAAAAATGGAAAGAATAATTGATGACTCATTCCATAAGAACTCAAACAGTACTTGGGCCAATGAAATCCCTTATGAATGCAAACGCATCCACGAACGTCCACGGAAGTAATTTGACGACACCGTAAAAACCCTGATGGCTCCTAATGCGACCCGAAAGCCAAGGTCTACTTGCGAAGGGCAGCGAACGGGGTGGCCTTAGGTGGCTGACAGTGCAGGACGGGAGGATCGCGCTTAACGGGATGCCGCTGCACGACGAAGGGGTTTCGTTTGTATCGTTGGCCTTGGACGAGGAGTGGCCCTCGGGTTCTCGGTTTTCTCGTGGGTTGTGAATGGGATCGGGTCCGTTTTCGCTCCTTTCGTCGGGTCGACGGGAAAGTGTCGATTTTCTCTTCGCGCTCCACTTTCTTGCATGGATTCGGTTACGACCTGCAAGGTCGAGTTATTTTTAGTATCATCTACGAAAGAGAAAGAGAAAGAAGGTTGATGTGGATGCATCGACTTTCTCTCCTTTTGTTTTGCTACTCGGCTGTTCGCCCATCCGCCACGCGAAGCCACAACATCGCGTCGTGGCAATTTTTCTCTCACTTGCTTTCACCCGAGAATGCGCGGCGGTTTGCATCTCGAAAGTGGTCGTCCTTCCGGGATGACGAATAGGAAGCCTACGGACGCTTTGGCCTTTACCGAGGCGTCGTTCTTGGCCTTGATAGGGCTTTTCTTCTCCTGCTTCCGCCTTCCCTCTGGCTCGTTCATGAGACGCGGACGTGACTGGACGTTAAGGTTCAATCTATCGCTGTATATTCCATCGGTGGCTCTGCTCGGCCTTAGTTTCGTTCCGTTACTGGGGGGAATGGATCAGTGTTACACGGCATGTCCCAGATACCGGGTGGAGCTGTGCCGCCCGTAGTGATGCATTCCACTCAAGCGTCCTCCAACACATCGTTTGTTCATCACCCTCAACACTTTGGTCGATACACATGCATGACACTTGGCATCCTGTGCAGTGCGGGGAAGAGGGGGAAGGGGGGAGTGGGAAGAACGACAGTCGTGCCAATATGCGCATAAGACGAGCGCTTTCATTCCCCTTCCCTCCCTCCCCATCTTTTCCCCCATCCTCCTACGCCTATCAGCTGATTCGCAGTTCACATGAAGCCCCAGGCCGTGCGTGACGTCGCATGCGTGCTCCTCCTCCTTGTTTTGTCTCTTTTGTTTTGTTTGCATCACGGTGCGCAATGAGATTCGACTGGGATCTGTAACTCCTGGGTCTTGAGTCGAGGCCGAGGTCTTTGTCAATTTTTGCTTGGTATTTAGCCAGGTAAATGTAGCTGTTGGCTTAAGGTTAGAGCGTAACCCATGTAGAGCTAACTGCTTTCGTGAAGATATCCATAAATTATTATATACAGCCCTGATCGATTCAGCACTTATTTGCCCGACTTCACCCAAAAACGTAGTTTATTTACTTAATGCTATTTTAGAAAATCCAACAGTAAGATTAAGGCGAAGATAGAATTAGACGCAGGCCCACATAACAGATGGCTAAGCTTAGGCGTAGTAGCTGCCATGAGGCCTACTATGACTCACTCAAGAATTTTTACGTCATGCCTATTTAGTGGTCTGCTTGGCTTGCATGATAGAAATATAAAGTTCAAAGTCATATTTTCATCCAAGAAATATATGAAAGTCTCAAAGGAGTGACAAACTAAGATATAAAGTAATGCAAAATGCAGTTTTCTACATTTCGCCCACATGAAGCACGAGTGGAAGTTGCAGTCACCTTGGCTCTAAAACTATAGATGGAAAGGCCTCTGGCATCATAGTGCCAACTTTTCTCTGGAGTTTAGTTGCATCAGTATAACAACAATATGTGAAAAGATGGTCATATTTATCAAACATGTTATTTCCAATAGGCAGAGGCGTTTGGTGTAGGTGAGTGCATTTCATGCTAACTAGAAGCCAAAGCATAGTTCTGGGCACCATTAGTAAGCATGCTTCTTACTGGCTTAAAAAAAGCATCCCAGATGAAGTGCATAGGCCTTCATACCTTGAGCTTTTCATATTGACTTTTTTTCTTGCCAGTTTTCAGCTGAATAGTTTTGTGAAAGTTACAATATGTTAGGTCCAGGAATGTTCTGTTCAATGGGGTGGGAAGTGACCCAGTAATATTCAATTTCGTGCAATTTTAAATTCTGAGGTCTCCCATCAGAAGTCTTTTAACAGATGCCTGTTTTCATTTCAAATATTATTTGAGTGAGGCAAAGTAGCTACAGTTCTTTTCATGAGGGTGGCACTTTCTGTCTCATTTTTTGAGTCAGGTTTAACCCTGCACAGTTGTTCATCATTTAAAAAAATAAACCAATAATGATGCCCTAAAGTACTCCATAAGGGAGTAAAGAGGTATTAGACACTCAGAATATTGAGTTTGATATGTGTTCTGAATTGAAGGAAGGAGATAATCCTTAGAGGGCCTGAATCAGTTCCAAGAAAGCACAGCTTGGAGATTGGTTTATGGTGTACCTATTGAAAAGCTTTGCTAAAATTAGCTGAAACACTAGTTATGGCTCTCCTGTCAGCCTGAGCACAGGCATGATGAAGGAAAGTCAAGTCATGAGATAAGTCTATTGTTGAGATCTATTTTCATTTACCTAAAATTTAGTGCTAGGCAAGATTTATCCTAACTCTAGTCCCCAAAGCCAGACCCAGTTCAGTTTGCCCTTTATGTAGGCCCATGCCTTGGCCTCAGATGTGGTGTAGCTTCCTAGTTTAAAATCCCAGCTGGAATATTCCAGCTGGGCCAAATCTGTAAATTCTGACCATTTCCAGCTAGCAAAGAGTTGGAAAATAGTAGGTATCAGTTGTTTCTTAGCTGGAATTTTCCAACTGGAATGCAGCTGGTTTTAATAGCTGTTTCCAGTTGGAATTTTATAAAGAGGATTCTACAACTGGAATGTAGCTAAATTTACAGTTGAAAATCAGCTGTTCCTGTAGATGGACCTCTGACAAAAATAGTCAATAAAAAGATTCTCATTCAGTTAGTGATATAGCAATTAGGAACAAATCTGGAGATTACTACTTTCCAGCTGTTACCCAGTTGGAATGGGTCCGAATTTCCTGCTGGAAATTATAGCTGTTTCCAGACTGGATTTTAAACTGGGTTGTGCCATAAGTAGACCAAATCTGGATCATGTGGTCAGCTCTAGCCCTAGTTTGCTATGGGAAATGGGAATGTCTGCCAGGGCCACAGCTATGTTTCTCTGTGGTTGTCTTAGATTTGCTTCATCCCAATTTTTCTTGCAGGTCTTAACTTCCTTGTTCAAAATTCTCCTGAATATTTGTATTGAGCTTCTTTGTCTTGAAAAATATTTTCTCAAAGCAACTTGCCTGGAGCATATTGGCTTATCTGAGGAGGATACTTTGACATTTTACCTAGCAAAGTACCAGTATGGATAAGAATCAGAAGGAAAACAAGGAAAATATAGATTGTGATGAGAGACCATTGGAGGATGCAGGGAATGGGAAGGATGCAGTGAAATCAAACTCAAATGGCTCACTTCAAAGCCCCAGAGCAGGAGTGGATGTAGAGAAAAGGTGAGACAATCATAGGTGGTGTTGAGCATAGATGGGCCTTGGGTTGCTAACTCTCCCAGTTTGCCACAGGCTCAATTTCTGTTCTTTCATTTTAAAATAGACTGAAAATTTTTTTCCATCACAGAAAGAAAATGCTGGTCAGGCAGTGTTCAGAAAGTTTTCCTTTCAACATGAACCCTTTTTCCTTGAATCCCAGAGCAAGTGATTTCCCCTCCATTGCCATTTTGGTGAAAGAGTGAGAGACATCATAGCCTACTTCTGGGAGTTATGGGTCAGTTAGGTTCAAAAGTAATCTTGTTTCTGACCTCTAGCTTTATATATAAAAAAAAAACTTTATGATTATGGCTTACTTCATTGCTAACTGGGGTTTAAGGAGAAGGTATTGAGAGACAAGGTTCAGCTTTTAAGAGTTCATTGCTGAAAACTCTGCTGGGAAATGTTTTATTACCAAGTTTAATGAATTCAGTCGTTTGACAGACAAATTTTACTAAAACAGTTTCCTAGAGCACTTTTATGAATTCCCAGTTAATTTGAAATCAAGACAAGTGGTATATCATCAATTGATAAAAATAATTTTATATTCAGTGAAAGTTACTGGTGGTGAGTTTCTGGGCATGGATTCAGGTTTGAGATTCATTTATTGTTGACCAATCAAGATACATGCTTTGATTCTGCTGGTAGATTACATGAAGAATGAAAAAGGTGAATGAGCCAGGCTCCATATGACCCCATGAAGTGTTGCATTCATGTTGTCCTCTCACTTGGTCAAGACCCATCATTTATACCCATTTATACATGGAAAAAATAATTTTTTTTTCCTCTGCAGGAAACGTACTTTTTCCAGTGAATCAGATGGCTGGAGCGTCTGGGGAGGCCTTCCTGTGTCTGCATCCCCACCAAAATTTGTGAGCTTGGAAGAGATTATGGCTGCAGCTGATGGCCTTACCAATATGGCTCTGGCTCATGAAATTGCTGTGGATCACCAGTTCAAGTTGGAGCTGGGAACCACTAAGGAAGATAAGAATGGTGAACAAAGGTGATGCTACTGTCTGTGTTTCTTTTGGTTTTTGTTTGCACCTGTATAATACAAATCACTTTTATCACAGTACTGCCAATTGATAACCTTGAAAAGTTTGCTAAACTGAGGATGTTTCAAATGAATTGCCTGATCACTGCATGTTCCAGCCTGTATGACCGGGTGAAGAATGCCATGCATCAGGCATTCTGGGATGTTCTTAGGGAGGAGCTTTCTGAGGATCCTCCCTCCTACAATAGAGCTCTGATCCTTATGGAAGAAATCAAAGAGGTAAATTCATTTGGGGGTTCAAGTGCTGCAAGTAAGAAGGCGTGCTATGAATGTAAGAATGACTTTGTGTCTATACAGAGTCTGATCTCCTGCCTGCTGCCACACCAGTCCAGATTGAAAGCAGAGGTCCATGCTCATTTGGATATAGAGCTGATCAAGCAACAGGCAGAAGCTGAAGCCTTAGACCTATTCTCATATCTTCATTATGTTGTATCCATGATGGCCAGGCTTTGTGCTCCAGCCAGAGATGATGATGTAGCAAGGCTGAAGGAAGAGAAGGATATTGTGGAACTCTTCCGAGGGATCATGGAGGTTAGTTCCAATTTTTATTCATTTTTATTGCCTATTTATATTTGGATCTGACATGAATTTCTGTGCAGACACTGAAGGTGATGCGGATTGACCTGGCAAATTTTGCCATTCATCAGATTCGCCCATACATCCAGGCTCAGAGTGTGGAATATGAAAGGAAGAAGTTCAATGAATTTCTGGAAGCTGTACCCTGTGAGAGTGATGAGCACTTAGCTGTTATTTCTCTTCTTTTCTCAGACTGCTGCATGGTAGAGGATGATTATTGTGATTGTGACAGGTGCCTTGAACAAGACGAAGGCTTGGCTGGGTGATCACTGTGTTGATGAACAGAACTGGACATCAAACACATCTGGAAATGAGAAGCGAGCTGTTGTGACACGTGTAATCAACAAAGCCTTCATGGCAATCTTGACCTGGGAGGAAGAAAAACCTTGCCCCGAGACTCTTGCCCTGGATGAACATCGCTTTTGGCATTTGAGGGACAGTGTAATTCGACTTTCTGTCTTGGCTGCCATGCTTTTGGTCACTTGCAGTGGCTTGGCAGCTTCACTTGAACACTCTTTGAGTGGCTTCCGAGAGCGCTTGAAGGGGAAACTCAAGACTCTTCTCCTGCCATTTTATCCTGAGTAAAGGAGAATCCTTGTTGCAACATCAGCATCTGATTCAGCCTGATTTGTGATATGTAATGGAATCTATTGTACTTTGCAGTGGCCTTGGTCAGAGTGATGAAGATGAGGACGAGACAGTAAAGGGGGCAGTTGAGGTTGTCATCAAGGAAGTTGGTGAGGGATTAAAAGAGTGTGGACAGAGCCCATTGAGTGAGAGCCAAATCACTGCACTTCGACAGCAGCTCCAAGAAATCACATCCCCTGATCATAGGGTCCGCCAACTTGCAAGTGAGTACTCTCATATTCTCTGTTGCAGGTATTTTTTATCACAACAAGTCGATGCCATTGGGTGTTATGTACCCTTGCAGAGCGACGTGTCCTAGAATTCATCAGCAGCACATTGTCAGCACCTAGTTCCAGCACTCTTCAGGTTCCAAGCGGTCTCACTGCAGTGCAGACAGAACTGGGGCAGTTGACTGCCTCTTTCCTTCGACTTACCAATCACAATCGATTGGTCTTTGTCGATCACTATGCAGACATTATTGAACAGCATCTTTTGAAAGCTACAGCATCCAAAGATGAATAAGTTCCTTCCCATGGGAGGCATAAATTCACACTGGATTTTGATGTCAATGTTCTTCTGTTTTCTGGAATGGATGAGTTCATGAATAGGCTTTTTTCATCTACCAGTGATTTGTTTGTGATGATATTACAAAGGTTAGAGTATTGATGGGAATTATTTCAAGGAAAAGTTATTTTTTTTTTATGTTTCTTTTTCATTCAGAAGCTTTTGGTTCACGGAGCTGCTTTTTTTATATAACCTCTTAGTGTACAGTTTCTTATTGAATTCTCATTATCATTTTGAAAGAACATAAGCAGGGCATCTTAGTGCCATCCTTTTTAAAAGCAGCTCCTACCATTGATAAAGAGGTTGACATATACTCTCTTCCTCGCTGTACTTTGTTTTGGCTAGCTTTTGAACTTTTGATTAATGTTGCTGAGAAAATGGGTGTGATTGATATTGGTTATGTTATTCATATGGGAGAGTACATGTGCAGCCCTGAATTGTGATCTTAACCAGTACTAAGAGAGCAACAAAAGTCTTTCTCACTAATCGGGTCTGAGAGGGCCAAACTTTTCATCTCAAAGTCTAGATCTCATGGATTGTTTACTTTCTACTCTTGGCACTGAGTATATTTCCACCCAAATGTAAAAAGAAAATAAGCATATTCTATTGTCTGTAACACAGCTTGTATATATGGTGCATAGGGTGTTAAAAAGAAAATGCTCCACTCATTTTCTATGGAGGATAGTTAACTTTAATTTTCTTTGGGGAAAAAATCATACTAGGCTTTATTCTGGCTCCTTCCTATTTTATTTTTAAAGTAAAACATCATGGGAATAAAGTACTGAATTCAAGAACAAATTACTTACTTAGAATATGAGGTACCTAGAATATTTACTGATATATTTGGGATGAAAAGATGTGACAGGTAAGGTTGGATGGGCTTCATCCATTCAGATTCAATCCCATACATGGTGATTTTTTTCAACAGTATGAAGAGTAGAGGTAAATGATTATTAATGCAGCATCTTCCAATAATGACAAAGTTTCACTAACAACAAGGTGTTACACTGCCAAGGAAAGAATGGTCAGTTCCACATTGAAAAAGGATGGAGCATTTTTTTTAACACTATATATGATGGTATTTAATTCTGTCCTCACTTTCCCTGTGTTTTGCCTGTGTATGAACCTTGTGATACCATTCTATGCTTCTACTTGCAAATGAGAATGAATTATTGGCAAATAGTGTCTTCTTTTTCTTTTTTTTTTTTTACCAAATGCAAGGATAATTATCAAAATATTTGTGAAATACTATTTGTGTGTTAACTTGAACAGTTTTTGGAAATTGGAATTATTTGTGGTATCTTAACTCAGGTTTTCATCTTCCTCCTGATCCACTTCTCTTCTTACTACCATTCTGCCACAGAAAAGAAAAGAATATGGCCATGGATATGGAATGAGAACTGACTGATGAAAAAGAAGTGGAAAGAGGTTATGTGCAGATATTGAAGGCCATCCCCAACTGTCCTATGGCCAAAATATGGCTTGCCATAGGAGTGTGAGATGTGGGAAAAGCTGTAGATGAATCAGACTAAAAATACCTTCATATGACGGGACCCAGACCTTATTGTATTTCTTGGGAAGCTGATTTGCATTTCCTATGATTCAAACTCCTATGAAAAAGCTCATTTTAACCCTTAGAATCCCAAGGTGCTGATATATTGGCTCTTCCTAACATGATACAATTCTGCTTGGGGGTGAAAGGGTTAAGAGGAATAAAATAAATTTTTACAAATTTTTTGTGTAGGCATTGATGTGCAACTAGGTGCATATCAATTGTTTTGAACTCTTAGCCACTCCATAAGGAGATCTCCAATCGAACATGGAACTAAAGTTTCACAGCCTATGAGGTGTTGAATGGGCCTTGAACTTGAAAGTGTTAGCATCCAGCCATCAAGACCCTGGAATGAGAGACTGCCCTAGGTGTCAGAATTTGGGGGATGGACTCAGAGGCCCCCTGCTTGTATGTAGGAGTGTGAGTAAAAAGCTATGTTCTAGCCTCTGTTTTTTCCCAATTTTTGTTTTTGCTATGTGAAGGACTTTCATGTAGCAAAAAAGACCACTTTGACTCAGGTTTACTAATAGGAAGTGATCATGTTAGGAATCTGATGCAGGGAGTAAATAACATTTTAATTGAAGCATAGTTTGGTATTTTAAGATTTTGTTTATTTAAAAAATGTATAGTGATGTGGTGGCTGCACATGTCTCCCATACCATCCTGGTTTGAGAGCTTCACTTCAATCCCGTGTTGGTTCCACCTTAACAGCCACACAATCTGCTGACCCTCATCAACATTGCCTATTGCTATTGGAATACACTCCTTACCAATGTTGTAGTGATACAGCTGTCAGTGGTCATGAAGACCATAGTGAATGTAAGAACAATTCATGAAAAAACAGGAATGCCATGGCCACAAAACTGTCAGAGGAATCCTGACTACATTTTCTCATATTAGGTATATGCTGATATTTCTTCATGCAGTTACATAATCTGATATCTCACAAAATAGTTTCGAGCTTGATGACCTCTTCTCCACATTGTTTATTACAAGGAATTCATAATGCATGAACCATCTGGAAAAATACAGGGTTAAAACTTGTTGAGCTGTGTCCTGCCCTGGCCAGGAAATAAGAGGGCATTTCAAATGCTTCAGTTATACATGGAAGACTAAATGACCATCTGAATGAGTTGTTCACATGATGCTTACCATCACAAAAACAAGAGGACAGTCAATGAAGGAAAGAACTTTATTTAGCAAGACCCATCTTCAGATGTCAATCAAAATTCTTCTACTTGTCTCATACTCCAGTAGGCCTAGAGGATCAATTCTGCAGAAAGAAAAAAAAAAAATGCAGACCAAATGCAATTAGGGACCAAAGTAAGAAGACATGCAGGATGTAAAAAAAACACCAAAGCAAAAGAATCGGAATGTCTCGTATCACAGAGTATGAGTAACAAAGAAAACTAAAGGGCTTGTATTGCTCACTTATAATACCATCTCTTCCTGAGATAATGAACAACAGCCGTGATATCTAAGAAACAGTCTTGTCATACTCTTTTGATAAACACTGCACTTATAAAAACCTTACTGCTAAGATTTTTCAAATATCTGGGTGGAAACAATAAAGGCTCAAGGCAACTTTGCAAAATCAGAGTTGCTCTTGAATTTGGTAGCAGGCTTTCATGAATCACAGAACCAGGGGGGAAAGGGGCATCTTTCTTGTCACAACATCCTCTCTGTAGAACGATTCATTCATGGATCATTCTGTGTCATACCACTGTCTCCTTCTCCATCAAAGGCATACTTTGGAAATATTCCTGACCTGGAATATAATTTAAAAAAAAAAAACAGTCCATGAATCCCCATGCAGAACTCTATGCCCAGGTGTTTACAGTAGTTCTGAAGGACTAACTTTCAAGGTATCCAGCAAGGTTTACATCTCCATTGCTGATGGCAATGTCCCTTGGGGTTCTTCCCTTAATGTCAGTGAGAGACAGGGATGCTCCAGCAGCAACCAGCATGCCACAGATCACTTGGCGCCGGTGCTCAGCTGCCACATGAAGAGCTGTCTGGCATCTGCAGTGGCAGAAGTTCAACTTTATTTCTGCCCTGATAAAGCATTGCATTCCATCAGTAGAGAAGGACTGAGAGACCTTGGTGTGTCTTGAATATCCACAAGTGAGGGAGGAGCAGAAGAGAGGAGGAAACGAACAGCTTCTTTATGACCTCTCAGGGCAGCATGATGCAGTGCAGTCCGTCCCTCCAGATCCACAGACAGCAAGGAATAACCCTGGCTAGTCAGTCTCTGGAGCTGGACATGCAACATTGAAATATGATCATGTCATGGAAATTGATGGCTGAGAGAAGTTGAAACCTGAACAGGTATCATTATGATACCTTGGCAATGTCTCCTGCAGTGGCTGCATCAATCATATCTTGTGATGGCTTGTCCAGTAGATGACTGACAAAGGGAAGGACCCCAGGTATTGCAAATATTCATCCTCCCTAGATCATTGCATGATCTCAAGAGAAAGAATGCAGACTTACCTGACAGGAACTATGCTGGCACCAAACAGCTGCTGATAGATGCTGAAATCAGATATTAATTTGCCTTTCACGAAACAAAATAGCTGACAGCATACTAGGAGGACAAAATCAAAATGGAGACTGACTTTCCAAGAGTTGCCTTGAGGGTTATCTGCTGGGCATGGGCCACATCAGCTGCATCTGATCCAGATGTCTCCTCTTCATCATCATCTTCTGCATCTATTCCACTTTCTGTCTCTTCTGCTTCTTCTGCCTTTCTCCCATCCATTCGTCTCCTCACTTCCTCCACCTCTCCTGCACTCAAGACACTGTCCCGTCGTGCCTCGTTTGACAACTCATCTTCTTCCTTTCCAGATGTACTGCAAACAATGGCCCTCCATTTTCATCAACTGGCACCACACCACTCCTTGTTCTGTTATAGTTTTATACTCACCTAGATTTCTTGAGTTCACCCTCTGCATCAGGAGGCCTGCTGTCTAGAACATATATGGCATCTGAGATGATGTCTGTCATGTAGTGAAGACCCTCATGCTTGGATTCAATGCGGAAGAAGTGCTCTGCTGTGCAAGCTGAAAAAGAAGGTTCTCTACTCTTATTCTGAGAACTCTTGTTTCCTCACCATATGCCTTTATGGATACTTACAGTCAAGAAAACACCAATCAGATGAAGTCCACAACAGATTGGACACAAGCGGACGAGCAGTCTTCAGGGCACAGTTAGACTTCACGCTGATGTCTCCCATGTACTCAGCTGAATTGTGACATGTGTTCCTCAGTTCCAAGAATAACTGCCAATATCTCAGAAAGGGATAGAAGTGTGGACAAACCGATGGAACGCAGTTTGTCAGGATCCAACTGATGGAGTTCATAATCCTGCATGAGAAGGCACTTGACTCCAATCTTCATCTGCTTTGCCCTTATCATCTCACTTGGCACATAGAGCTGCTCCTGGCTGGATCTTCTCTTGGCAATGAGTTTGGCTTGGTTCCTCCTCTGGATGGTGATGACAACAGGACTGACTCGGCATGCCTCTCCGTCCACTTGCATAGGGATGGTTTTATGAGTCACAATTCTGGCTCTCTTGCACTGGGCTATGCATGTCCCATGACCTCCAGCCTGAAGCAGGGGCTGTAGAAAGCACATTGCACACAATATCAAGCATATATTTTAATTTAAAAAACCCTAGTTGCCATCGATGTCATGTGAACCTCTATTACCAGTTGGTAAGTGGTGAGTCCAAGGACTTCCAGATACCCATCATCCAATGTCTGCTTTCCTGATGCAGAGTTCCAGGGCCTTGTACCACCCGCATAACTGAGAAGGAATACGCCCATCATTGGAATCGGTCCTTCATGAAAAAAAACTTTTGGTAAATTCCAATCCCTGACCTGGAAATGTTGAGGAAAACCAAAGCATGGCATTTGATTTCTTTGAGCCTAGCAGTCATGTCCTTGCCATCCAGTTCCACAGAAATCATGTCAGATAGATTTTTCCATTTCCTCTGCAGGAGATCCTTTCCCCCTACTTGACCATAGAACATTTTGTTCCGGAGACGGGAGCTGAACTTCTCGGGATTCGCTTCTACGACCGGGAAAGACATGATTGTACACGCAATCCCTGGGTTTTTGTGTTTTGATCCCAAAATTGCTACCTCTGGCCTCGTGGAATTCGAGGGCGATTTGAGCATCAACTCCCAAGGAGAAGTAGTTGTTGAAGACCTTGAGAGGTGGCGCAGGTTCTCCGGGGACGTCTTCGCCTTCGGTCGACTCCGCACTCAGCTTTGAAGGAAGGGATGGCGACGTGTTGGGTTCCACATCTAAGCACCATCGATCCAAGGACACCGGCTCTCCCGCGTTCACGTGAAGAAGCAACTTCGACACCGGCTCGTCCTCGTAGCCCTGCGTAGAGAAACTTGAAACCTTCCAGCCGCAATGATGAGTGATGACTGGCAGAAGCACCACTTACGCCTCCCCATCCGAGGGCCCTGGCCAGGTCGTTCCCAGTGCCCAAAGGAATGACAGCAAGGGCGGGTTGCGGTGAGAACTCCAACTGGTCCAACGTGGACAAGATCCAGCCCACCGTCCCATCTCCTCCACATGCCAGCAACTGCAGTCTCTCCACCTTCTGGTACAGCTTCAACCTGCACAACGAGACCATCACATGCGATTAGTGTCGGAAAAACCGAAAGCCGTAAGAGTAAGAAACGAAAATGTGGAGCAGCAAACCCGAATTCTGGTCCTCCTTGAGTGAGATCGAAGACCTGCCTCGGGTTGAGAAGCCATTGGAATTTCTGAAGGAGTTTCAGGCCCTGATTCCCACCGGACTTGGGGTTTATGAAAACCAACAGGGGGGAAACACTGGAGCCGGGAATAGGCTTGAGGGCAAAAGCCTTGTCTTCCGTCGATCCAGCTCCCGACGAGCCCGATCCAGAACTTGCCAATTCGTCACAAACGGCCTGCCCAAACATTTTTATGTGATTCATACCCACTAGCTTATGGGACCGGAATACCAAGGTGATTCATCTCAGACCTGAAATTGATCTCTAGAATCTTCCCTCTTGTGCTCGGTGGAAGTTTTCTTTATGGATGACTTAAACGACCCTTTCCGTGGCACTTTGAGAATCCAAGAAGGCGGAACGATCAGGTTCCCATGGATACCTATTCGTGAGGTTCCAAACCATCAGCCACTTGCTTTTCTTCACAAACGAGATGAGAATAGGGACTAGATTTCTCGGGGAAACTTTCACTCGACCTTTCAGTACGTACCTCTCAAGAGAGACTAAACACTTCGTCCACAGTTTCACGCTGATTAACCCTTTCGTTTCCATATATTTTGGTAGCACACAATTTAATTTTCAAGTCCCATTATGCAGAGTGCACCGTCATCTCAAACCAAACTCGCCAGATGCAGGAAATGGCCGTCGCCTGCCTGCTGCTCGTTACTGCGCCATCTATTCTCGCCATACTGGGAGTACGTTGAGGTCATAGGAGTCATGGGGCAGTGCCATGAATCAACCGCCACATCAACAGCTGATCTGTCTCTATCTGCGCCTCGAGCCTCTTTCCTCGAATCGAAGGCTTACGCGATGAAATTCTCGAGTTCGTGAGGCGGAAGTGAAAATAGCTCCGGCTCCGGTTTTGCGGAGCGAAATCGCTTGCGTCGATCGACGACCATGCGTTTCATCCACGTGGAACTCTTCACCGCAACCCAATGTAAAAGGAATTCTCGGAAGCGACTGGGTCGCATCCTTCTTCGCACTGGGTGTGGGGACGATGAGAACAAGGGGCCACCCACTGCCCGAACTAAGCAGACGATATCCGGCAACCCCCGTGCTGCCCTGCTCGGGCGCGGATCAGACATCCATCAAAGACAAGAGGGAAATCGTGAAGAAACCAAGAAAGAAGGGGTCGACACGGCGGATTCCCCCTCGAGAAAATTAGTGTTTATGAATATGGATGAACATCTGTCTTTCTCGGCGCTCAGAGACCCGAGACGGAAACCACCTCGCACGAGAAACCAGGACAGAGCGAAGACGGAGCGAAGCTGGAGCCGCTCTCCACCCGGACGATGAGGGTTTGATAGATTTCCACATCTCGTGCGGGGCTCGCGTTGATTCCTATCAAAAGTCCAGGGGGCAGAATCCCAGATAAGGGGAATCATGAGGTCCGCGGGATAATTACCCCCCAGATGAAAGGGTGCACGGGTAATATATTGGGAGGAACCCAGCCGTGAATCTCTTCCACTGGAGACGTGTGTGTCAGATATAGGAGTCTATATGTATCGAGGGAACGGATCTCTGACCCTCTCGGGTCAAATCCATGACAACCCTCATCTCTCCCGCATGAAATATTATTTCGAGATTCTGGTCTTGCATATAGATAGATAGATACCGTACCTTATGATTACGATTTCGGCGCGAGAAACTGACCGAGGGAACAGGGCTCGTTTTGGAGCTCCGGCGTGAAACACGAGGCTTTGGCGTGATAGGCGGATTTGCACCAAGAGCATGACACGGACATCGCCTCTCGGGAACCGAATCCTAACTTCGCTGCTACCGTCTGCAGACAAAAAATCAATCAAGCAATAAAGGGGGGAGGGGGGGGGGCGAAACCTGAGATATCAATTCGGTATCGAATGTCGGGAGAAGTGTTGAGAATCAGAGGTTTCATCTGACATCACCGGCACAGCAGCGTGTCATGAAGAACACTTGCAACACAATAAATTGAAAATGTCATGACATTTAAGAATGAACTATATGCAAATGGCAAGATCATCAGACAGTACACATTGGCTTCGTAGTACTCGATGAATCTGGATTGCTGGTGAATTCTTTAAAAACTTTTTCCTACCGTATAAATTATGTAGTTGGTGTATTCACTCTATTGACATACAGATCACGTGATTTTTCTTTTTAAGCCCTTTAAAAAGTATTTAAAAAAAAAAAGGAGACGGATCTTTCGACTCTGACCTTGCCGCAGGTCTTGCATTTCCCCTTCTGCCTGCTTCTGTTTACGAAATGGTGTCGTGTCACGGTCTGTTCCCTGTATTTGCGGATTCCACCGTCGCAGAACGTGGGCTTGCACTCCAGCTGGAGTTTTTGCAAGAGATGCGGGACACAGGATTCGTGAACGACGATTCGGCACGCCGCACATCTCAGCCGAGCACCCTGTCTCTGCAACACGCACATACGCGCACAATCCCCATAAAAATAAAATATATCATGCTGGATGGGGCGTACAATAAATCAAACAGTAGGACAGGTCCCCTTTTGTCCCAAGCATGTTTTTATGTCCCGGGGGACCTCTTTGAAAACGGAGTCTGGTCTCGTGCTGGGCAAACATCAAGAGGCTTCATTAAATGGGAATATTTCATGGCAACCCAGTTTTCTTCGCAGGGGGTTGCAGATTGTGACACAGGGACATGACTTTTCCCCTCCACGCCTTATCGAGTTTCTCTTTTTCTTTCTTTTCTCTTTCTTACTCCACTCGGATGCATCATCCTCTCGGGCGTCACGCGGCCATCTTTCCCTCCGATTGTGCAATGCCCACGCGTATTTTCCTCGCAAACAGAGAAAGAAAAAGAGAAAAAACACTCGAGTGTTTTTTTTTTTTATGGCTCCATCAAGGTTTCGCAAAACGTCGGTCGGACCAGAGGTGACTCGACCCTTGTTCACCGTACACCCACCCCCCTGACGGATGATATCGTATAACCCCCCTGGGACGATTCCGAGCACGTCTACCCTCGGACAGCAGACAAGCCAGTCGTGCATTCGGAGCTCACAGTGCATTCGGTCTCCTTGAGATAACAGAGTTCGGAGCTGGACCCGGAGAGGGAGGTCCAGAGGTGATCGCCGGGTCGAGCTTCGTGACTCCACGAAGGGAAGAGGCGAAGCTCCACGCTCCCACTCCATTCCGATAGGCTTTCCCCGTCCACAGACGACTTCCTGAAACGGACAAGACGAAAAATTTTCCACATCGGCTCGTGTTCGAAGGGACGACGAAGCGAGTGGGTGGGCATCGAAACGAGCCTCCATCCTTTACTTAGTAGCCATGCAACGCGAAACAAATGTGGCATGAGTCCGTAGACGCCATGTAGTGTGCTCGGTAAACGAATGGCCGGGTTCAATTGGCCAAAACATACAGGTGCTCCGTGGGCACCACGTGCTTTCCATAAACAAATATTCTTTCGGGTTTTAACTTCTTCCGCCCCATTTCTCGTTTCTCAGAAAACTCGAGGGTTTCTAGCAGACTGGAATACATATGAACGATATCGTACAGCGTGACGCAATCGTGAAATACCAAATGCACACTACTACGTGGAATAGATGCGGCAAAAGGCCCCCCTAGCAAAGGGTGAGAAACTGCAGCATGCAAAGCCTCCGCTTTCCTTCTATGCCATCCTTGGTGGGCGGAACGTTCAGAAAGGGCATGTAAAATATACCGATGACGAAGGATCGAATACTGGTAATTATACGTTGGCTGTCAGATCGCAAATTAATGCAATTTGTCACCCATTGAAGTCACAGTTACCGTAGTTCAGTCACACTGTCCAACCTTTTTAGGATTTGCGTCGGCCAGACGTCGCGATGAAACGGAGGAAGAGCCAGACGTCAAGGCCTGACAGAACAGGAAATGAAATCCGAGTGTCTGGTTTATAAGCCTGGCAAGGCAGCCGACGTGCTGAACAGATCAACAAACGTCACATATGGAATGGGAAAGTAAGCCACTCGTAACTCTACTCATGGACTTTGGTATATCATTATGGCGTGTTGACGAACGCAAGAACAATAAAATATTAAAGGCGAACCTTAGTCACCATTCATTTACGCACAACGTTAGCGCGTGATGCTAGAGAAGCGTAAGACAAAAATAAAAGCTTCCAGTCACGACAATAGGATATAATTTTTTCAAAGCCGTTTCAATAAGCTCTTTCCACGACAGTTCATATGAAACGCGGTGGACGTAGGATAGGCGTTGACAGCTAGTGGCACTTTACGGTTACTACGATAGGTTCCAGATTTAACACGGGAACGAAAGAACAAAGGTTCATGCTAAAAACAAGCAACAGCGTTCACGGCAGGGCAAAGGAGTTGCAAGATTACTTTGTTCTTTTATGTGTCTATCGCACTGATACCTAGAGCCGTTCCGAAACGTTAAGGCATTGACCTAATTCAGGATCGACATCTGTTGTTTGAATGAGGATTACGAAATATCCACATTGGGAAATTTTTTATATTCATATGGAGGATGCACCTCAATGACGTCAGTGCCTTAACCCTCGCTTCCTCTCAGCCTGAAAATGACATTTACTCGTGGGTATTTTTTTTACCTCAATGTATTTCTGGGTACTCTTAATAATTAATTCACTGTTAAGGTATATTTACGCATTAATAATTTCCGTAAAAACTTTTTTTTTCTTCAGGATTGGGATCAGAAAAGGCCCCAGAGAGGAAGCGAGAGATCCAGTTTTGGCGGTGAAGGGCTATCTTCAAAGAGGAATTGAGAATTTACGATATGCCACTGATTTAAATTTAAAAAAAGGCAAAGAGATGTCGAATTCTTGAGGACATTTCAAAAGAAACTTTTTCGGTGAAAATAATGAGATAAGAATTTGTAGGGGAAAAAAGTAATTAATCTCTGTCATGCAAGCTTCAGAGTTCCCTCGTCTGCCATAAATCATAATAAGCAAATCACGTAGGACATCATATCAGATAAATCACAAGTCCAAGGGATATAAATCAAGCTTTACAGCCTGGTCTTCACAACACTAAATCATAAAACCACCACCGGATGATATGAGGTGCCAAGTGATCAGGGATACAGTCACATGGGTCGGTAAAACGTCGCAACAATTTAACCTTTCCTGGTCCGTATATCATGACAATTTTATTCTCAGCCAGGTCCGGATTTGAATACCCCCGCTCCGGACACTCTCACCACAATAATTTTTTTGTCTCTTTATATACAATGTCACCGAAAACAAGTCAAATTCCTTACACTCTCTAAACCCTAACTTTGTGTCGGGGGAGACTCGACATAGGACCCACCAGAGATATTTCGAATGGCGGGGTTCCCCCGAAAGTGGACTGGAACAGGTATACAGAGTTGTTATATAGAAACTTTACACTTTTCAAGCACAATATCTCACAAGAGCATTGACAGAATGGTGACACCACACACGGCTGGTACAGGCATCAGAGGGAATCAAATGTTGTTCAGGGGTGTCGCCAGAGAGATAACAGACGTTCCATATGCGTACCACCGTTTTCCATCATACGTGTGATGACGGCCATGACGGCAGCCAAATGCATCTCATCCGGTATGGCTGCACTTCCCACACAATAGCATCCTTCAGCTCCGGAAGTGTCTGAGGGTTACCTCGGCACACGCATGATTTCAGGTCCCCCCCATAACAAGAAATCTGCAGGAGCACTCTGGAGACGGGACCATATCAAATCACTTTCTGTGTGAATGGCCTCCCCGTTCGCCTGACCTAACCCTGGCAGATTTCTGGTCATGGGGTACCCGAAATCACGCGTGTGCCGAGGTAACCCTCAGACACTTCCGGAGCTGAAGCATGCTATTGTGCGGAAAGTGGCAGCCATTCCGGATGAGATGCATTTGGCTGCCGTCATGGCCGTCATCACACTTATGTCGGAAAACGGTGTTACGTATATTGAACACCTGTTATCGCTCTGGCGAAATCCCTGAACAAGATTTAACGATCGTCGCATCTGATTCCCCCTGGTCTCTATACCAACCATGGTTGGTGCCACCATTCTATTTTAATGCATTTCAGAGATATTGTGCGTGAAAAGTGTAAAGTTTCTTTGTAATCATGCGTAAGTATTCTTATACAGATTTATTTCCATGATTTTACGAAGGTCTCGAAGTGCCCGATATAGACGTAAACTTAGAGTTAGTGAAACCAGATTTCGCAAATGGACCCCAGACTCCAGGGATAGAAATGCCTTGCAAGTTTGAAGAAAATATTAACCCCTTTGCAGTTTTTATTCAATTGAGATTGCTCGTGTCTCATTGCTCTCAATGACTCGACTCTTCGCAAGCTCTATTTTTTTTCCTTTGGCCCTACAAGGACTCGTATAATACGAAAAAGAATTTTAAACTTGCACTCTGATTAATAGTTTCGCACTGAACATGGGGTATTCAGTACATGGTGTCGTCGTCGAGAAACGATCGTACCTTCGAAGACAAATGATTGCCGGGTATCGAGTATTATATTTAGTAGCGAAGGGAGGGAGATCGTAACAGGAGCATCTATTTAAGGTCCAGGGATACCAATTTGCCAGGATGGCGTTGATACATGAGCCTGAACCGACCCTCAATTAATAATTGCTTTCAATCGCCCGGGAAATTTCGTTCACGCTCAAATTCGTTCGCCCCTCGAGGGAGGAAGATATGGGACAAAGGACCGCCCGGAGAGTTCCGCACGATTACCTAAACTCATCGGAAACAATGCCCGTGACATTCCACTCATTCCCATCTCGGTTTGCATCCATACTTCCCGGCATCTTTCCTTTGGCAGGGATCCAGCACCCACGAAGAGTATGGGATCCACAATTAGCACGGAGATGAAAAAAAATTTTTTCCACTGTCTCGCGAGATGAATGGAGGACGATGGGAGGGCGATTTGCACTTTGACCGCAAGAGACCACGTTGGGCATCTTCTCCTACAGATGCTTCATAGAAGCCACAGACAATGAAGCAATCTCTCTCTCTCTCTCTCTTACCAAACTAAGAATGGACACTTAATTACCCTTTCCCCCTCTTCCATGCAAAACTTATGACCCTGATTGATTGCAAGGGGAAAATCTCCCTCAAACCATTGACGCAACACACCTGATACCTACGTTAATATCTGGCGTCATTAGCTTCGGAGTTGTGGGTAATTATGCTTGCAACCAATAGCGATAACGTTATCGGAATATTCCCATCACATAATGCGATGAAAGCTGGTCGGATATTCACTAGTTAATATCCTTCTCACGACCCTTGGAGAAAAACCTGCTGAATGAACCGTACGAAATGGTCCATATCTCATCCGATCCCGTCAAGGAAGGTAACGCATAAAATTCTAAATTGGCAGGGAAATCAATTTTCCAGCCGCTGGAGAACCTATCAGGGCAGGATATCCGCCACTGACGATAAATCAAACAGCAACGTCACGTGGAGCCCGTGCAGACGAAAGGCAAGCTTGGCATGCATATGCATGGCGTGGGAGAGGATCCTGACCTTGACCTCCAACTTGGGCTGGGCGTCGTGAGCTATTGCCAGAGAAGTCGAGATTGTGCACCATAATTTGGTTCGCGATAACGGATCCTCGGTTTGCAATGTGCGATTACGTTTAAAATCCCGGTACATGCGAGAGCGGACTCACTTCATGACGTGCCAGGGGCAAGGAGGGAAGCAGAAGCAAAGGGTAGAAAGAACGGGAGGGAACGGTGGGCAAGGGCACAAAGAAGATTGGCACTGATACGCACTGGGAATCCCACCACGGGCCTTGCACTTCCCTGGCTTCCCATGCACGTCCAAGAAAAGGATCTCTTCCCCGTGCATATCCCTGAGAAGCCATACACTCACACACGAACGCAAAGCGCCGGATTTTCCTAAGAGGAAATTGGGGGAAAGAAGAAAAAAGGAAGGAATCGAGAGACCCCAGCGAGGCCTCACGGGGTCATGTCGGCGAAGACGACAGTGTTGACCTTAAGACGTCCCGAGGGAGTCTGAGAAGGAACTGACTGGGTTATCCATCGTCTTATACATCCTCTCTCTCCCTCTCACGCACCTTCACCCTCACATCACGCACATTCACGCCCCTCGGGTCCAACTCGGAATGACCACGTTTTTCAATCACGAGAGCTCTCCCGTGGAATTCTCGCCGTGAAAATGCGTTGATGACGGTCATGATAATAAAGCTCTCCCCTTTCCGTACTGCATTCAATCAGCACGGTTTCATTCAGCTCACTTCCGGGATGTCTCTATCTCTTGGGCCCTATTATGCCTTCTCATCGGGCCGATTTGTAATGACGGAGCTGCGCCGGTCGGAGTGAAATGTCCACGTGACGGGAATGGGCAACGTTCTCTTCCTATTTTTCTCTTTCTTTCTTATTCATTTTTTTTTGTACAGACGAAATGACTAGAGTCACGGTTGGGATGAAGAGAATAGGAGGGACAAAAGCGTAGAAGCAGGATGAGATGATGGGCTGCATAAAAGGGAGAGAATTCGTTATAGGCCTCTCCCACTGTGCCATGACTACCAAGCCAGCATTTATAATATATAAATTATGGGAGCTCATAACCGGTAGCTATAGGATCCGAAGCTCAATGATCAAGTGCCCGAAGCCAGTTGTAAAGTCGAACATCAAAATGCAAATGACCGGCACTAAAGTCCCCTTCCAGGCGTATTTCAGACTCCATTCATTTTCGCGACGCCTCCGAAAGACCGTTTCGTGCCTGGGAGTGTCTCTCGAGACATAGAAAAGCAACGAAATCCCAAAGGACCTCATGCGGCGACATGTCCGAAGATGTCGAAACGCCGAGAGCAAGACGAAGTGCTGGCCGTGGTGAGTCAGCTGAGCCTCCGACCTATCACCCTTTGGGGTGGTCAACCTTCTGACCTTTCCAAGTGCAATCGCCGACGAGAGGTCTCGGCTTCTTTCTGCCATCTCACCTCGCAAACGCGATTATCATTCCTTCTTCCGGGACCCATGAATCGATCCGTGCAATTATCCGTGATTCAGCACGCCGAATTTCCCAATCACTCATCGATTTCGCGGCAGGAAGATAAATTTGCCAACTCACTATCGATTCCCCCCGGCCTCTCGGTACACCTACTGTGATACTCTTTCAGTGCACGAGCTCCCGTAGTTTCGTTCCAACGGCCAGACCTGCCTCGACCATGAGCCAGATTCAAACCCATCTCCTAGCATCGCTAGATAACTCAGGAAGCATCACTTATCTCCTTTCCCATCGGGACGACAACGTAACCTGCAGTGCATCCAAAAGTGTATGCGAAGCAGGCGTGACGTCAGCGCGGATGAGCGATCCGATTGGTCCGCCGGTCGAAGTTCCGATGGAACCAATCCGACTGCCCATCTCTTGCCTACGTCAGTTGGAAGGCACCATGGCATCCAGTCCACTAAGCTGACGACCCTGAACCTGCTTGCACAAAGGTATTCCTGACGGACTCACGCGGAGTGGACGATCAATCGCGGGATAGGATATCTCGAGAATGCGCTCTTCATCTTGCACTGTCACCGGGGATTAAAACTACTTCCACTTCCCTGGAGATGTTCTGTGTCACAAACAGAGAAATATTTGTTCGGCCGGCTTTCAAAAGTACCACCCCAGGATACTGAACAGACAAGGGAGACATTATCTCGGCCTGGACCTTTTCTAGATAAGGCCGCGCTATGAAACAACAAAAAAAATTCAAGCCCTACGTCCATCCGCATATCATACACTTTCCGTCGGGTGAATGGAAGCGCTTTTATTTATACGTGCTCCACTTTTTCGAATACATTGCGACAATCCGCTATTGTTCGGAAATTTCATAATCCGGCAAACCTGTACCTCGATGAGTGACGTGAATAAACAAAAACGAAAGATGGAACCAAAGCCGAGAAACGCGGCGTTCCGGACTCATGATCCCCTGGGAGAAAACCAGCCTTCTCGCGTCTTCCGGGTTGCAAGATGGCTTCGAACGATCACGCGATGAATAAAAGAAGTACATGCATGGGAAACGTGGTCAGAGCTAGAACTTGCCTGGAGCCACCAAAGGTCACCATGGTATCACCGCATGTTAACCGTTTGCAGCACGACAGACATTAATCGAGACGAAAGGAGGAACGCGTCGTGTGAAGGAAAGACACAGACACAGAAAGCAGGGGGAAAAGAGGCCTCCCGTCTCGGGACTGGTTGGTCTCCTTTTTTTTCCTCGCTCCCGGCTGCTTCCTGACCGCGCCATGCTGTTCGTTCACCCCATCTCAGCTGACTGGCTTCAACGAACAGGAACGTGTTCCTCCCCTGGAAGGAGGCTACGCGCACGACACTTCCCCTCTCGTTAGGTCGAAGGATGGGGCAGAGCACTCACTCCTTTGTTCGAGGGGGGCGTCTCCGGATGGCGGGCCTGTGTCTCCATTGTCTCTTGTAGGGAAGAGGTTGATAGGAGTAGGTTACGGACTTCCGGCGCCGAGACGAAGGAGTCGTCGAGAGACGACGGTGACGCTGGGTCGAGGAGCCCTGCATCCCATCACATGCGAGCGGGTTTCGACGTGGGAATGACACACGCGAGCTCGGTGTGGAGCCGCAGAGGCCTTTTGGTGTTTCTATCGCGGGGTAATATCCTCTGGCAGAGTGCCAGAGATGGGGGGATTCAAAATAAAGAGGCGAGCTGCGGTTCCACGTGCCGCGGGGGTATGCGGAATGCCAAGGCGAATCCACAGACCCGAAGCACGAAGCAGTCAGTAATCGATGGATACGTGTCGTGGATCACTCTTTCAAACGACGGTTGGCCTGCTGGGAATCGATGGAAGGGATGAATCGTTCATCGTCCCTCTCCCGCCCGAGTGTGTGTACATAAGTATGATATCGTTGCTCCATAACATAGCTTCTTTCTTTTTTTTCCGTCCTTCGAGCTCTTTTTCATGAGTGGAGAGATAAGGGCGTGTCGTGAAGAGACGATAAAAAGTAGTCCGGCGTGCGTAGGTGTTCGTGACTTGACGTCTCACGCCATCGCGAAGGACCCACTCGACGTCTGTGACGCATTCGCGCTAGAAACGGCGATTTCTTTCACTTTCCTTCGCCTTGCATTCCTTTTTCTTTTTCGTGTCGTTGCATGAGCGGAACGAGATGTCAGGCGGGAATTTACACACTTTTTCGTTTCTCGCCGTTGGGCAACGAAATTAGCTTGGTTTCCTCACTAACTTTTTTACCCTCCCGTTTCTGTTTGTAAATGCTTGAAACCGAAACCTGCTCGTGTATGTACGTTCGATGTCGTACCTGGAACCATAGTTTCTTTGTCTTCCACGTTCCATTAAGGAGTCGAGATAGAGGGCGTGTCGTTGAGAACGTACGAAGAAAGAAACTTTTCCTTCTTGGAAGTAAACCTTACATGTATCGACTCACGTCGAGTTCGAGAGCCGCGTTTAGCAATCCTACAATAATACTTTTTTTGGCGAAAGGTTGACCGATCTTTCTCGCTTCACCGAAGAAGAAACCAAGATCAGGCCGAATCAACGGGAAGCATTCAAAATGTCAACTCCGATTCGATCGTCGAACAAACCACCGTTGGAAACCGAATGAGACGGTGTTGCTTTGTTATTAAAGACTCAACAACCGACCGTCTTCTCAACGTTCCACGGTAAATGATGATTCATCCTGCTTTCCACTTCCATTATTCGCAGAGGAGGCTCGACAATGGCGGAGACGCCACTTTTCCCATTCATTCCCTTTCCTTTTCACGGAGGCCTGGGCGGCGGTTCTCAACCCTTTATTAGCAGCGGCACATTTTTTTGGCGGCGAGATGTTGGCGGCGCCTCTGCACTTCCGCGGACCCCCATAAAAAATTATTCCGGTCGAATAAAAAAAATTGGGAAAAACCAGTCTCGGAATTCCTTCACGAAAGGTTTATTTAGAACTATCACATTGCAAGGCGATCATTACGACAACATCAGCTCGAACTCTTCATTATTTGTTTACATTTACAGATATGACGTGGAAAAATTTTCTTTTAAGTATGTTTGGCATTAACCTCTTCAAGCCCGAGTGGCATGCATGCGTGCCAAATCCTACGCCTTTTATTTTCCTCGGCTCTGAGGTTAACCTCCTCAGACCCAATGACTCCTATAGAAAGGTAGACTCACACACGTAGATGTAGTGGTGAAGAGAATTAGGATTTCGTCTGCAGCAAAATACTGATCTAGGTATTCTTCCTTGGCAGGTTGAAGTCAGAAGTGTAATACATTGAAAATGGATCTTCAGCAGAGATGTGCTGACCCAATCCAAGAATTGATCCTCCATGACATTAGTGCAGGGGCATCGCAGCCTCCTGGCCTTCTTCCTCTTCATTTGGTAACAGACCAAAAAAAAAAAAAGGGAACACTAGGTTCCAGCACCGAATGCAACCTTTCGTGGGTTCTCTAGATACCGCAGCGCGCAAGTTGAGAACCGCTGATCTAGAGAATAATTACATCTGGGTATGGCATTTGCACGAATTATATTCGGACAGCCGAGAAAAGGTCACCTTGTTTTTCCTTTCACTATTTCCGTATTCTTTACTAATAAAGACAAAAGGAAAAATGTAACACGGTATATTTTACCGCGTTACATTTTCCCTTTTATTTTCATTTCATGCACGTTTTCCTATTGCCTCCTACTAGTGAGTGTAAGGTGGAAGAGACGAGGGGAAGAGTAGGGATGGGGGAGGGGACGGGGGATGGGGGAGGGGCGGGGGACGGGGGAGGGGGGAGAGGATGGGGGAGGGGCGTGTTGGAGAGTGGAAGGACGAAGGGGAGCTGAAGTACTTTCAAGTGGGACGTCGTCTGGTTAACGTCACACCCATCACATTTTCTATGTACATAAGAGAACGAGTGAGTACACACACGATAGGACATTTCGTCTTTCCACGTCCGAAACCAAAGAGGAAAAGAAGGAAATGTTCAACATGCTTCCGTTCCTCGAGCCATCCAGTGATAACGGGAAGCTCGACAGAATATCCATTCGTGTGTTTGTTTTAGTGCGAGCATGCATGTATGTTTAAAATCGGTTTCCAATTCCTTTTCCGGTAAAATTTAGAGGAGCATTTACATTCCATTTCCTGGAGCACGAAGTACACGAGGTGAACATTTCACCCCCGGGGATGTTATTATTGCTTATCGTTAGGTACTGACGGCATGGAGCGTGCCGTCATTTCTCTCGTTCGATATGCAGGAACAATGAAAATCCATTAGCGACTTCCGACGAAAGGTGAGGGAACTCAGGCTTCCGGCGTGGCGATAGCCATCAGAAGGCTATGGGAAATTTCGAGAATTGCCCAGCCGGGAAATCGAACCGAACGGATTCCAAGGCGAATCCTGGAAGAACGACAGATCTCATCGCGTCAGCCGCACTTTATGAATGAGAGAACGAGCATCACACGCCACAGAAGCATTTTGGCCCGTCCCTCCACCAGCCGCCGCTCCTCGGTCGCGGACGCCATCAGGCAGCATGGCGGCGAAGGACGACGCCTCGCGGGCGAACGATCAGATCATGCGGGTCACGGAGGGAGCAGGCCTTTCCGGTCGTCGGTGTACATGGGTTTTGTAACGCGGTGCGTCGTAAGTCCCGGCTGGAAAACGAAACTCGGACAGAATATTTGGCGACACGTGGAGTGGGTGGTGCTCTCGGATGAGCGCTTGTCATCGCGACAGGGAAAGCTCAAAATTCATATCGTGACAAGGAGAGTTGGCAGCAGGTCTGCCCAAAGGGGTGGGGGGACGATGACATCGGGTACAATTTTCCCTGGGCCTTGCGTATCAATGGGCCCCAAGGGGACCTCCAAAGGGTCACAAGTGGGGCTTCGGTTTAGTTTTGCCCCGGGCCTTTGGAAACCTCTGGGCGGGCCTGGTTGACAGATGCATGCTGGGGTATTGCAGTTTCTATACAGGGAACTTCTTCAATGGAATCTAAATTTCAAGTCCCGTTCTTGGTGCGGGGGGAGTTTTTCAACAATATCGGTGTTATCTATAATCCCAGGCGTTAAATCTCCTCTCTCCCTTAATCGTGAAAGGAACGTGTTGTTCTAATCAGTATAGTTTCTTCAAAATTGTGCCTTTGCCTGAAAATCGTCGCTGAGATCCATTCGGTTCATTACGATAGTGAGTAGAAGAGAATGCGGCCCATAGACGCTACGTCGGGTGCTGAGAACCATGGGGAAAACAGAAAATATTTCTAGGTACACAGTGACATCTAGCGCTCTTATAGCAAAGTGAAGGCTTTAGGTTGTCTGCTCTAGGTGTCCTGAACGCCGATAAGCATTCGCCTGCCATTTTTTGTTTTCTACGGTCCGGTGCAAGCACGGATTTAGATCATTTCTTAGTTGATTAACGTTCCTTATCGCGATTGTCGGCAGATATGTCCTTTATGCCCAATTTCTTGGAAATGGCATACGTTTAGCACTGACGTAGTGCTTAGGGGTAATGCTTGAGCCTTATTTTAGTAGCACTGCGTCTTATTTTAGACCAAGAGTTAGTTCATGGGCCTGGAATGATGACGCGATACCATTTTTTATTTATTTAATTCGCCTGTGTCCGAGGCTGACAGTGATTTTATTATAAATGTTTCTTTCTTTTATGTGGCTTTCTCCTGACCAAGGCAGGCTGAACTTTGTTTTTTCAGTAGATCAGAGTTTAACAGCCAAGTAAGATCAAGTTACCTAAAGGGAAAAGTGTGGAACTCAACTGAGAGAAATTTAAGCAAGTAATTGAGCTTTATCTGATTTGGCTCTTCTTAGGCCACATATTTGATAGGTCTACTTTCTTCCGCTCGTGAATTTCCCCCGATTGGAGATGGAGGACTTGAAAGTTGGAGATGCTATGTGCCATTATGTGTATGACTGGAATTGTATTTATTTGAATTGAATTTCAAAGAAAATTCCTGATTTTTTACAGCATCATGCAGGTATGTGCCGTAGATAGAAGCATATATATTACTCTAAGAGAAAGCATTTTGCATTATTTTAAAATGTAATTTATGCATTTTGAAATGCATAAAATCTATTTTCTGTGTAAATAATAAAAATATCCTATTATAGACATGACAATTGCTCTTTTTTAAGCACTAAATGCATCATCTTTTATTGCTGAAACTGGTTCTGCTAGGAGGACTCACTCAAAGACTTGGCAAGGGCTACGTTCTATTACAACAACCCTTAAGGATACAGGGATTTGTTGGTAGGCTGTAGGTAGGTCATTAAGTGTATTTTTTAATTTATTGCTTCAAAACAGTAAATTTTGGATCTGAAAATACGTCTCTCAGCATAATATTCCATTTTTTCTTGTGTGAATCTGTTCCCAATGTCCATTTGCAATGTATATCTGCCAGTTTGTCATCATTTGGTGCTCTACTGCTGCCCTAGTGTCCACACTGAGGAAAGGAAATAGTCAACTTGGTTGTGGTTCAACTTCAATTGACTACTCTTCAATAAATGATATATCTGCATTACTTGAAAATGTTGGAAAAACTCTGAACAAGTCTCTATAAGGCATGCCCAAAGTGTGGCCTGCTGACCGCATGTAGTACACTAAGTGCCTTAATGAACTTTGAGCACCCCTGCCTTATATATACTGTCCAAAATAAATTATGTAAGGTATATGGAGCTCACTCGTGTTGTGGGAGCTGTGATAGCATTACATCTGTCTTTTGCTGAACAAGTCAGCACTGCTTGAACATTATTAGTGTTTACTTTAACCTGCTAACCTTTGAGTACTGTTCACTTCCCATGTCAGGAAAATGCCTAATTAGCTTTTCTCCTTGCCATATGTAAATTTAACATTTCCATGAACAAAAAATGGGCTGATTTCATTGTGCATGTCATCCTGTCTCTGAAAAACATCAAAGGTATGCCAAGGCTAAAGCAACAACAAAGGGATGGGGTGATAGAGTTGCTTTGAGAGAGAGAAAATAGGACTGAAAATAATAAGTAAAATGATTGAACTTTGTAATGCCATCTTGAATAGTGAGAAATTTTTTAATGTGTTGTCTGATCAGGTGTCAGTGTCTATGAATGGGCCTTGATGTGGTCTATGACATCCTTGCAGCTGCCTGAGTAAATTGATGCAATAAAAATTTAATGAGACAAGGAATCAGCTACTTCAGCTCTCCTGTATCCTAAATGTTTTTTTTTGGAGCAGCAATGATGACTCAATGTACTTGAGAACTTAGGCCTGCAAAATAGATTTTGGCAATATTGGTAAATCCAATGCCCTAGTGATACCAATTGGATGTATGACATAGTGGGGAGAGGGTCTATGGTTGTCTTGAGCATTGATTGAAAGCCATTCTATGACCTAGGTTTTTCTGCAATTTTATAGATGTCACCACATGGACCCTAGCTAGGCCTGGACTAACAAAACAGGATGACAATTAGACACTTCAGGAGAAGAGTGCTGAGAGGCATTGTGTGACTGGCTTAGTTACTGCCTGTCAGTTCAGGCCTGTGTAAAGAAGCCAGGAGACAACAAGGTCCTCAAGCACAACCAATTTTCCCTGTAAATATGATATAGTTCTTGGCCTGGTTGAGAAACATGGCTTATGTACCTTCTGAATGGATTCACCTATACCACAACAGACCCCATGTTGACATATCATTCAATGCCATCAATGATACATTCAACCCCAGGGATGAAGTATACCTTGAGGTGGGTTAGCAAAGTGATTGATAATTTTTTGGCCCCTGTTGGTTGTATTTTCTGCAAACTTTATTATGCTTGCTCAATTCCCTTTTCAGTCATTGGGGCTTTGGGGATCTGTACCTGCTTTGATTCTAATCTTCAGCTTAGTCACTCTGCTCATCTATCTTCTCGCCTACTGTTGTAAGCGAACAGGGTCCAAAGCACGCAGCTACGGATGTCTGAAATGGACATTGGTGATCCTCTCCATTCTTTGCTGGTAAGCAATATTCATTATGGAAGAAAATATATTATTTCTCAATTTTCCCTGGAACATACACATCAAGGGCTTGTAATCCCTTTTTTGTATTCCATTCCCTCCTCAGTGGTGCTCTTGCTCTTGGATTGTATGGGAATGACACTGCCCACACAAGTGTGGTTGACTTTGTGTCATCTGTGAAAGATGTGGACAATCTTGCTTCTACAGCAAGAAATCAGGTTAGGTCCATTTCCTTTTTGTGAATTTGCCAATACAGGTATCAGTATGTCCAAGCTTATGTGGATTTTGAATTTTTTGTTTTTGAAATTCATTATATATTGGAGCATCCATTGTAGTAGGAAGAAAGTGTTCTATGAGTGCAGATATGCATTCATAGAACTCTATGATATAATATATAATTTATATTATATCATAATTGTTTATGTTTTCCAGTTTGGGATTAGTCATTCTCCATCAATTAGGCCCAAAGAATATTTGCATAGCATTAGATTGGCATGGTCCGATCAAATTAGGAGTGCTTCTCATTTTACTCACACATTTTTGTGCATCCTTCTTTATTTGATTTATTTAGACCCAGAGGATACAAGAGAACTTGAAGGGAGAGGTGGAGCCAAAACTGTCTCTACTCAAAGGGATCTTTGGGGGTCCTGCACCAAATGCAACGGTGCAGACAATACTCAAGTCTCGTGCTGAATCTATGAGCAGAAATGTCACCTGGAGCATTAGCCACTTGGAGAATGTGCGAAGTCGTCTTGCAAATGCACAATTTTCTCGTTTTATTCACATCACTGAAGAAGTAGAAAAGTACAGGTTAGTAATGTGAGAATATTATGGCCAAAAGTGGATGTACGAACATTGGTTCATTATGAAATATTGAATACCTTTTCAGGTGGCCAGCAATAATGGCCTTTCTTGGACTTCTTGTTCTCTTTTGCTTGGTATTGATGCTTGGCCTTGCCAAGCGCTCCAGGTGCACTCTCATGCTGTAAGTCAACTTCTTTTGTTCCTGAACTGCATGTGTTTCTGAATTGCACTGCAATGATTTTTGATTGATTGCTTCCTCCCCCCCCCCTTTTCATGCCCTCCTTAATTTCACTATGTCATCCAACTGAGCAATATTTGCTGTCCTGAAGTAACTGCCCTTAGCATATTCAGCTACTCATTCTGCTTCTGTCACAGTAAGGGGGAGATGTAATCCATCAAAAATTGCTTTAGTACGTCATTTGAGAAGCTTAATACTGCCTGCTTATCAGTGGCAATTGTTGCTTTGAATTCTACATACCTTTTGTACTTACAGGTTTTCTGTTCTTGGGCTTCTGGCCACCGTGTTCACTGGTCTGTTGGTGTGTGCATATTTTGTGATTGCTATGGTAAGTGGTAGGCCTACCCCTGCATTATTCCTATCATTAATTTGGAAGTTCTTTTTAGGATGCTAATGAAGCCTCCTTGATTCCACCATCTTTAGGCATCTAGTGATCTCTGTGTGGACCCAGATCCATATGTTTTGAAGGAGATTGAACTCCAAGGCTATGCTCCTCAGCCAGTGGTGTCATACTACATGAAGTGTCAGGAAAGTATGGAAGATCCTTTCAACAATGATGTTAATGATGCACTATCTGCAATCAATGATGTCATTCGAGATCATCGCTTCATCAGTGATGTTGTCCCAAATCACTACACACAGAATCAGGTAGGGACCACTTGAAAGCCTTAGAGTTTTTGCACATCAAAACTTGGCATGAACGTCAAAACTCTTGAGATTTCTTAGGTGGTCTTTGGAGGATTTTGAATCTTCTGTTTTTCCAGTTTCCACAGTTGACTACAACTCTGAATCAGTTGGGCACGACTGTGAATGCCACATGGCATCATATAGGACTCCTTGCCCAGCAGCTGAATTGTCGACCATTTGTCAGTGCTTACAAGCAAGCATTGAATGCTGGATGCAATGGGTTGATGTAAGCTCTGCACTAAAGTTGAAAATCTTCATAAAGAATGGCAAGATGGTATTTTGACCAGTTTTGGGGACTCATATTGTATTACTGCTTTTTTTCATAGCTTCGGATTGACCTGGATGCTTTTGTCAGCAGCTCTTGCATGTCTGTTCTTCTATTTTCTGGTCATCTTTGATTCCCACCTCTGGATCTATATGAAAAGGTACTGTCTCCACCTGTACTTTTGGAGTGATCTATTCTTGTCTTTGATGGAGTGGATGATGCTATGCTCACAGTACGTGGTTTGTCTTTTGCAGCAGGAATCATTACCTGGGGGGTGGAGGAGAGGAGGCAGACCCATTCCTGCCAAGTGGCTCTGGTAGTCTCAGACGATCCCATCATAGCTCCATGGGTTACAGGTACACCCATACTCCTCCCCAAACCCCTCCTTTCCCTGGCACCTTGTAAGTTTGTGTATTTTTTTGTGTTCATCCTCTTTTTTTTAAATTTTGTTTTTGTGTCAGTTTCACTGTGTGCCCTCATATCCTTGCATGGTTTATTTTGTTTTTGTGTATTTTGCGTTTTCCCTCAATCCAAGTCCACCCTGTTTGGTTTAATTGCATGTAGATTCACTCCTATAAAAAAAAAATTTTAACACCTATTTTAATGGCAAAAGGGTTCATTCCCCCTGGGTGCTATATTTGCAAATAATGTGTGGAAATTTTAATGGATACTTTTTTTGGTTTATCAGAATATAAAGCTAATTTCTGCTGGCAGTTTTGGGTGCATGGCTTGCCCCATGTGAACAGAATGAATCATGCTAATGAGAAAATCCTGACTGTGTTTAGGGTCTATGATCATGTAATTGTCTGCTGCTTAATCCCACTGCTAACCTTTGTTCTATTCATTAGAGATAGCTCAGAATATGTAGTTATCACAAAGCTTCTGAGTCCTGCTGTTGACTCAATCCTGTTCTTTGTTATGGCCCAACTGCATTTAACAAAGGTGCATTTTAGCATTGGCTCATTGGTGGTATATTTCTATGAGAACATCATCATAGTAAGATCAAGTGAGAGCAAGCACTAAGTTCCATGGCATCCTGTTTAATGTGTTTTTTCATTTAGACTTGTGAGACAGTTCTTGTATTTGTAATTGAATGGAGATTGTCTTTTTTTTTTAAATTAAGGATACAAGTAAAAGGAAGCCATCAAATTAAAAAAATATTGCATTTCAGGAATGGAAGAATCCCAGAAGAGCGGGGGATGGTAACATATTCAGCCACTCCTCCTCCGGCTGTAAGTATAGCCACTTTGCCTGGGCCCAACCATGGCCAGTATGCCACCCTCTCTCGACACTGCAAAACGTTGGAGAGCTCCAATTTCTACTAACATTTCGTGTTTCTTTTCCCTTCTCTACTTTCCTCCCTTTTCTCTCTGAAAAGGAACAAAGGGGCCCGAAGTCTCATGAGATCTGATCATGTGTCTCCCTCCCCTTTTTATATGTCTCTATTGCATTTGTGATCGTCATGACCTCCCCTCATGGATGTCTTTTAAGCCTAGGGAATCATCAAGGTATCAGTGTTGAGCCTGGGGAAGACATGGGGTCTTAGAAATCTCTCTTGTGTACTGCTTCCACCCCGGTGACCCTTGGACACATATTTGGGATACAGAGGTTTCCCCCAATCTCCTATGTGTGTTAAGATGTGCATTTCAGGGGCATAACACAAAATCACATGTGTGCATGATTCCTGACCTGTTGAATGGGGTTCTTTTTTGTCAGTATTAGTAATGTTGATCAATTTAGATTACCTGATCCCTAGTCACCTGGTTTGCAGGGTATCATGTCTATCTGTGTCAAATGACACGCCTGTACCCTGACTAACTAGCTTTCTTGTCACATTTTGACTTTTCTGGGAAACTTCCATGATGTGAGCGAAGAGAGCTGCATGTTTTTCTGCTTGGGGCCTGGAATTGCTTGTATGGGCTTTCACCTCATTGGTTGTGGCTATGGGTGTATGACAGTATCTAGGCTACTCTTATGGATCATTGTCCTCCTTCATGACTTGCTCAAAGTGTTCTCTGACTTCCTGCTGTGGCACTTAGATAGCCTAATGATGCAGAATGATGAGCTTTGGAATGTAAATGTTATTTCTGAACTGGCACTTTCTTGGCTTAGATTTGTGATCTATTGAAAAAAAATTTTTATATTAAGTTTTCTCCCTTGATTTAGTTTCAAGACCCATTCTTCTAAATGCCAAAGACATACTTTACCTCATCAACTAAAGAATTAAATCTAATGATATAGAGAAAAATACCATAGGATATCATCCTGCCATGTACCTGTACACATTCATCACTTGAGAATTATTTACGAAACTATGGCCAATCCATGTCATTTGCACAAAGTTTTAGACTGCAGCTTCTGACATTCTGACTGAAACATAAATGCATAGCACTTAATGCAATGCCATCACTGAAAAGAAGGATGCATTTTTTTGGGTGTCATTGATTCCAAGACCCAAGCAGCTGCATTAGGTCAAAGCTTTTGCAGTTTGATTTTGTCTATCTTAGCTATGCATTATACAATAAAAATTGTATTTGGAATGTCTTGGTACCTGAAGAAGTGTGGATGCAAATTTAGCAAATGGAGCATATTCCCAGTTCTCTTTGTCTTTCCAGTATGACCACCTGATGCCTACCTACCCCTCTGGTTACCAACGATGAAGGCCTGCTTTCAGTTTCCCCCAAGGTGCCAACTTTTCATCTCTCCCTTTCTTACTTTCTATGTTTAAACTTTCATGGACTATTCCACTGACCAGTATTTATGGCTTGTTTCATTTAATCTTCAATTTGGTTCATTTTCCCATGCTTTTACAATTTTACCCAAGTTTCCTGAGGAATGTATTGAATGTATGTCTTGAACCAAAGAGACAGTTGATTTCTGTAGTATGATCTGATACAAAGCTGTTCTTTGCAGTGAGATGTGATGCGATTCTTTCTTCAACCAGGCTTGCCTGTAAATAACATGGCACAGACTTATGACTGTTGTGCTTTGGGTGAACCCTGCAGACTGGATGAGAGTCTTTTTCATGTGATGAGTGTGGCACATTCCTCCAAAGAGTTTTAGGGATTTACTTTAACATAAATGAACCCATCTTCAGGGAAGGGAAACAATAGTTCTTAATCCACTCACCTCACTGCCATATCACATTTTCTCTTTAAGTTACCAATACCTCATGCACTGTGTCAGACCACCAATCACTGTTTGGGTCCTTTATGGGAAGTTTATTGCTCATGACAGGCTTCTCCTGTCTTTGATGTTATGATGCTGCTGAGAATATGATGGCAGATAGTCCTGTATGGGAGTATGAATCTTTGTTCCCTTCCTCATTTTCACCTCTTACCTATTGACAAGATGTGATTCCCCTTTATGAAGGGGAGGTAGGTCTTTGGATTTTCTAGTCAAGAAGTTGGCATCATTTCAGCTTGAGTAATTCTCGGCAGATCTCCTTTGCTCCCTTTTGGCTTCGCTTTTGTGTTCAGAACAATGAAAGAACGTTTTGCATTTTACTCTATGAATTGACTTTATGGATGAGTGTAGAGTGAGATCCAAAAAGGATTGTGATTTTCTTAAGATGATTAGCTTGGACTTAGCTATGTGAATTTCTTTGGAAGTGTTCTGCAACACTGTGTGCAGGTACACAGTGTGCATTCCAAGATCGCGTTGCTCATCGCTGAGGATTCCTACGTCCCTCTTCCCCTTTTAACATCATTTTTCATGTTTCTGACATGCTTCGTGGTAAGAGATGATTGTATAGTCCAGGATAAAGTGAGTGAGCCCATGCTTTCCTCCTGCTCATTTTTACTTGACTTTTTTTTTGTATCATGCGCCTGAATAAAAGGATTGAAAAGCGTGCCATATGAGCCCGTCCTTCGTTCAGTATCCAAAATGTACTTGAAGAGCGACAGGTGGATCCCCTATGCTGGATTGACCTGAACCAATCGGATTGTTTCACCTTTTTGTGAGGTAAAGTTCGTTTTTCATTTGGCCTTCGCTAGATGGCTCTCAGAGAGGAGTGGAGAACGTCCAAATATCTGCGCCCATTAACCTCTCCAGACCCAAGCTGGAATATATGATTCCAGGATGTCATTCTTTTTGTCGTTTTTTTCTCAGATAACGAAACTGGAAAGATGTTAAGCGGATAAGAGGGTAGTAAATTCTTCAACTTAGTAATCCCTGTGCCGAGGCCCCGATACGTGACCAAGGATATGCCGCTAAGTTTTCAAGAATAGGGTTGACAACGTGACTCTCTTTTTTCCCCCCTTAACGTCCCATAGATGGAGCCCGGATTTCTCCCTCGTACTTGGGTCGGTCTTGGGGTTTAAGGGACGCCTTTGAGTTTTATCTCGTCCCAATTAGGGAAATAATCTACGAAGAAGTCCTTTCCCGTTCGTGTGGTACAACTCGCTAGTATATCATTATGTATTCATTTTCATTGTTTTGCCCCAGGCAAACCCTCAAAGCTAAGAGGTACAGCGTAGTCCATAAGTAAGTTTAACGAATTATTTTCAACTACACTAATTTCTTATTAACCTAGGTTTGTTTTTCATGTTGCATGATATTCGTGATTTCTTTTTGGATTCTGTTGATGGCTGAATCTGTTTACTGATGAAATGGCTCATTGACTCATAGGATTTTAATCCTATTATTAATCGGGTAAACTTATCACCCTGTATTATTTCTTGACGGCATTATGTAAGGGGATAATGTCGGCTGTCGACTCGGTGAAAACTGAATGCTGTTGCAACAGATAGAAGTCATTTTTTTCTCACCCAAAGAATGCGTGATAGCCAAGGAATCCGGATTTAGCATGGAGATGTGATCTACGGCATTTCTAAGGAACATCATCTACGACACAACACGAAATGCGGTGGCGAAGGGAATCTCAATGTCGCCAAGTTGCCTCAGTCGCTGTATTTTCCAAGTTGCGGGATCGTAGGTGTCGTGAGGCTTTCCCTCCGTGCTGCCGTGCATGCTTCCGAGAGCAGGGGGCGAATCCTCATTTTCCAAGTATGCAGGACTCGAGACTTGCCGAAAAGCTAGGGTCGATTGCGCGAGTGATGTTCATTTTAAACATTGATTATCGATAGTCATTGTTCAAACATTGTCTGCGAAAATGTAGGTTAACCGCTGTCTACTTTCGATTGCGTTAACGATCCCCGAGCCATATTTTCATAGCCGATGGTTAGACGCGGTGTATGACGAAATGCCGAATCCCAGTTCGCCGAATTCCGTGTTGCCTAATTACATGAATGTAGAACGTTTGAAGCGTCTAGGTGTTAAAATGAAGAAATACAAAATGCCGATGAGACCTTTTATTTCAGTGTTACATGGAACGTGGAATCCAAGTTTGTCGGAGAATACAGTCATCGCAAGTAATTACCCATGTAGCAATTTAACCCTTTCAGACCTGAATTAAAGCCGCTATCGGAATTATATCTTTTTTTGCATTTTTGAGCTCTTTCATGATTGTAATTGAAATTTTCGTGCTTTATATGTAGTTTTCATATTTTGTATAAATTTACCATATTATATATTTAACATTTAATTAAATAACTGAAGATTTAAAAACTAATGAGTAAGAGAAGGCCTTTGATGGAACTGAGCCATGCATAATTGCGCCTATTGTAGCGTAATATGGAGCGCAAAGTCACGAGAATCCTAAGAAGTTGCCATAGACAACAATGTAAATGTGTTCTCGAGTCCATTGGAATGGACGCCAGGTCTGAAAGGGTTAATTCAAAATAAATCCATTGGACATACCCTCATGGACACTTGGACATCCAATGTATATAATCCTCGGACATCCCCTGGATGACTAAATGTTTCGTCCAAGGAAAATCCTTGGACATGCCCATTGGACTATTGGATGTCCGTCTCTTTGGTTCCATTGAGGATTCTCTTTGGGAAAGCCTTTGGATGACCATTGAGGGGTGCAGCGATAGTAATCCCCAGGTAGCTGTGGAGCGTATATTTGCAGGCTCGTGAATATTCATGGATAGGCATAGAGAGTGTAACTAGAGGCGACACTTCGCTCGAATCCCATTCATTGACAGGGTCGCAATATGGATGTCGCTGTTGATCCTCCACCTAGCGGGCGCACATCAACAACTCCCATGGCCGAGCAGCGGACTCAACGAGACACGCGTGTTACGTTGAGGGATCCCTTTGGGTCGAATCCCTGAATGAGTCGTTTCCGGATTCCGCAGCTACGAAGTACGCTGCATGAAAGTGTTGTTGATAACAAGCCACCAGATGTCTCTGTAATATTTCGACGCTCCTCTACCCCTCAGAATGTCGCCTCTACTTACACTCTATGGTATAGGAAAGGAGCATTTTCTGCCTATTGACAATCTTGCCCTCTCACGTTCGTTGGAGGAACAAGGAGAGGAATGTTTGAATGGAAGGTGAAGTAAATTTATTAGTGAGCCGAATCTCTCCACTTCCCATCCCTATCTCTCTATCAAGACATTATTTTCCCCGACCCCATGGGCGGGATGATTCACATAGGGAAAGAACAGAGTTACTTGACAAATGGAACCACACTTTCACCATGCAGTATGCAAGGATTGTCAGGAGTCTCCTTGAGCACGTCTTTCAACAAATGAATTATTTAGAATGACTTCATTCCTTAAGCTTGTAGGTGGGAGATTATCGAGTAGAGGATGAAAGCTTACGCAGAACAATTTGTTAGCATTTGGGAATTG